AGAGGTCAGAAGAGAGTGTCAAATTCTCCTGGAACTCGCCATGTGGGTCCTGGAACTCAAACCCAGGTCCTCTTCAAGACCTGTCAGAGCTCTCAGCCGCTGAGCCATCTCTCCAGTTCCAGGGCCCAGTGATCTTCATCGTTGAAATTCATTTTTTTTTTTTAAAGTTTAAATTTTTTTGTGCGTGAGTGTTATGCCTGCATGTGTGTAAGTGCACTTGTATTGTGCAGTACCCATTGAGGACAGAAGAGAGTGTCACATCCCCTTGAACTGGAGTTATGGATGGTTGTTAGCCACCATGTGGGTGCTAGGAGTCGAACCCAGGTCTTCTGCAAGACCCATCTCTCCAGCCCCCTGAAATTCACTTGTTTGTTTTTAGTTTACAAAGCTTAAGTTTATTCTTTTGATGTTCCTTTGCATCCTTTAAAAAATTGCAAAACATTTCAGGAGCAGAAAGATACACGTAACATAAATTTACCATCTTAACCACTGAAATTCACTCTTTTTTTTTTTTTTTTTTTTTTTTTTTTTTTGTCTTTTTGAGATGGGGTCTCCCTGTAGCCCCAGCTGGCCTGGAACTTGCTATGTAGACCAGGCTGGCCTCGAACTCACAAAGATTCACCTGCCTCTGCCTCCCAAGTGCTGGGATGAAAGGCGTGCGCCACCATGCCTGGCTGAAATTCACTCTTAATTTGAAACTGTGTTCATTGATTTTAACCTATACTTTATAAAGCTTTTTAATCACAAAATTTAATTTTCATCTCAAATGCCCATATTCTTATATGTAGTTTTGTTTGTTGGTTTTGGTTTGGTTTTAGGGACTTTTGCCCCAGCTGGCCTGGAACTCACACTATGTAGACCAGGCTGGCCTCAATCTCACAAAGGTCTACCTGCCTTTGCCTCCTGAGTGCTGGGATTAAAGGCATACACCACCATGCCTGGCTCTATATATAGTTTATAACATGATAAACAGTGGAATGATTAAAAGTGTGGTGGTGTTAACAGAAAAAAATAACAGAAGAGAATTAAACAGGAAACATGATTCTAGTATTTTTATAGAGTAGATACAATGGTGATATGTGAAACATTACTTGTGAATGGTAGTATTATAGTAATCTAATGAAGAAAATTTACTTATAGGATTAAAGGAAAGGTAAAATAAACATGTTACAACACATTTCTTTTATATATCTACTTTCTAAAAAGTAGCCTGGGCCAACATGTGTTGAAGAAATTAAACTCTATAAATAAATAAGTGTGGTATATATCTTATGGCATTTTTATGTCTAGCAATGTTCTCACAATTTTTCAATAAAATAGTATAATGTGGGGCTAGAAAGATGGCTCAGCAGTTAAGAACGTGTACTACTCCTCCAAAAGATGGGCGTTCAGTTCCTAGCACACATGTTCAGTGGCTCACAGCCACCTATAAATTGAGCCCCAGGTGATCCAATGCCCTCTTCTGACCTCTAAGGGCATTGCACTCATGTACACATACCCCCACACAGGCACACATACTTATACATTATTAAAATAAAATCTTTTTAAAAAAAGAATATAATGGGTCCATTTAAAAACTACTATGGATTTGAATAAAATATTCAGAATACTATTAGAATTTTATCAGTTCCTGCTTTTAGTTAGAAACTAGAAATATTTCTGAGACTTATTAGAATGGAAGTTTAACATTAAATAGAGATTCCTCTTGAGTCTTTCCCATAGTTCTCATAGATGTGCACAAAATTGTATACGTAAAGTTATTCAATGGAGTATTGTTTGTAACATTAAAAAACAAAACCAACATCACCACCCACCATTAAAGGTCCTTGCTAAGGTATATACTATAGCTATGGAAAAAGAATAATACAGGGGCTGGAGAGATGGCTCAGCGGTTAAGAACACTGGCTGTTCTTGCAGAAGACCTGGGTTCAAATCCCAGAACCCACAAGGCAGCTAACAGCTGTCCGTAACTCCAGTTCCAGGGGATCTGACAGCCTCTTCTGTCCTCCATGGGCATTGTACAACATGGGTGCACTTACCTACATGCAGGCAATACACACATACACATAAAAAGAATAAATAATTTTTTTAAAAAGAAAAAGAATAATACAGCTCTGTATCAGGAAAAGAAAACATACAGATCTGTATCAGGAAAAGAAAAACCAAAGCCCGTCAGAGTGTTCCTCTTACCATTGCTGCTCTTTATTGAGAGGAAACACACAGTTATCATGCATATGGATGATGGAATGTGTAGCTGTTAAAGAGAATGTTCTGTTGGGCTCACTTTAAGCCATTCTAAAAATATAGGCAAAATAATTCCTTTGATGAGATACTGTACTTTTCCTTCTCGGAATTCCCACCCTGCAGCTCAGTCCCTAGAAACTGAGTAGCCATGAAGTTCAGCTGGGTCTGCCCACCTTTCTAAGTCCTGGCTCGGAAAAGGTGCAACTTCTCTTTTTCCTTTCTTCTGTCTCTTTCAGATGCTGGCCAGAACCTAAGTATGCTTTTTCTCATACTTTGGGCTTCTTTAGTCTCTCCCGAAAGCCCCCTCCCAGCCTGTTGCCAGGTCGAGGATCTCCATGCAAGCGGCATGGCTCTTTTCCCTTCTCTCCATTCTCAGGCAGCTGCTGAGATTTTATAGCTTCCCTGCCCTGGGAGGAGTGGGGGATTCTTTTAAACTTCAATTATCCCCAGCTTTAAAAAAAAAAAAAAAAAAAAAATGGCTGGGCGTGGTGGCTTACGCCTTTAATCCAGCACTTGGGATGCAGAGGCAGGCGGATTTCTGTGAGTTCAAGGCCAGCCTGACCTACATAGTGAGTTCCAGGACAGCTGGGGCTACAGGGAGACCCTGTCTCAAAAAGACCTCCCCCCCCAAAAAAAATGTGCTAAATTGGAAATGATGATGTACTTAGGAGGTTGAAGCAGGAAAATTGTGAATTCAAGACCTTCCTAGGCTTCATCACAAATTCAATCCCAACTTGTTCTACATAGTGAGACTTCCCTCCCATCTCAAAAAAAGAAAAAAAAATTATATATGTATACACATACATATTCTGACATTGAAATTTTAAAATAATAATGGAATAAGAGCATTTGTCTGATCTCATCTAAGAGTTGTGTCTGCAATTTTTCTTTGTAAGTACATACTCAAAGGAAAAGATGTACACATTTCTTAGAGATACTGGAAAGAGGGAGAGGTTCAGATTTGAGAGGGTCTTTTTCTATATACTTCTATATTATTTGATGAAACTTCGCATATTATTTCTGCAGTAAAGAAAAGGTAAAGCAGGTATAGTGCAAGCCTATAAGCCCAGCCACTCAGGAGGTTGAGAAAGAAGGATCACAAGTTCAAGGCCAGCCTGGGCAATTTAGCAAGACCCTTTCTGAAAAGAACTGGGTATATAGATCAGTGATAAGATGTTTTCCCAATATGTTTGAAGCCCTAAGTCTAATAAATGGTACATCAAAAAAGAAAAAGGAAAGAAAAAGTAATATGTATTCACTAACTCCCCCAAAAAAGAAGATTTAAAGATTAAGAAAAAATTTTTTAATTAAAAAATATCATAGTAGCCTCATCAACTCACAAGTATCCTAAGAAAACTATTGTTAAAGCCTTGGTAAATAACCTTCCAGAGGTTAGGGACATTTTATGGAAAGCATTTAATCCTAAACCTAAAAGAGAAGAATTAGCATATAAAAAATTTACACTTAGGGGCCAGGCGTGGGGGCACACACGGGAGGCAGAGGCAGGCAAATCTCTGTGAGGTGGAGGCCAGCCTGGTCTACAGTAGTGAGTTCCAGGTCAGCTGGGACCACAGGGAGACTCCTCTGTTTCAAAAAATCAAAAGGAAAAAGTTTACACTTAGCTCAGTAGTCAGTAAACCATGATTTTGGATAAGAAAGTAACAAGATAGTATGTTTATTCTTATTTTTACTTTTGTATCCCCAGTGCCTTTAGAGCACACAATAGCCAGCCATAAGTAGTATATGTATATTTAAGAGATGAATGGTCTGCTGGGCATAGTGGTGCATGCCTTTAATCCCAGCACTAAGGAGGCAGAAGCAGGCAGATCTCTGTGAGTTCAAGGCCAGCCTGGGCTACATAGCAATCTCCAGGCCAGCAGAGGCTACAGGGAGAGCCTGTCTCAAAAAGACAAAAAAAAAAAAAAAGGGTGGGGGGTGAGTGGTCTACTAACCATTGGTGAAACTCTTAGTTCTAAAACCCAAAGATAAGAAATTCTTAATAATAATAATAATAATAATCATGCTGGCTGACTATTGGTAAACCAGCAACTGTTGCTCAGAAATGTTTGGCAGATATCCCCTGGTATTATTTCCTATAACCTGGATTTAATACCAGTGCCTTCTTAAATCATTTCAAGCTAGTGAATGCTCTTACTAGAGTAAACTGTAGCATGGTGGTAAGAGAAGAAGCCTTGTTTAAGAATAACCTACTCTCCATCAAAGGACTCTGGCCTTCTTTGACTTCATAAGGTCTTGTCCCACAGAACTCTTCACTGGAAAAATAGTTACCCATGGTGAAAGAGGTGATTACAGGAGCTGTAGTATGGGGCAGGAGAGATGGCTCAGCAGTTAAGAGCACTGGCTGCTCTTACAGAAGACAGGGTTCAGTTCCTAGCATGCACATGGCAGCTAACAACCGTCTATAACTTCAGTTCCAGGGGATCCAACACCCTCTTCTGACTTCCATGGGCATTACACAACATGGATACAATTGTATACATGTAGGCAATGCACTCATACACATAGAATAAAAATAATAAAAGATCTGTAGTACCTGGTCTTGTTCTTAAACCTCAGAGATCAAATTGAAACTGCTTCATTTGAAGGGGGGGAGGAATACACACACATACACACACACACATTTGCGTACATAGATGATCATTTTAACGGCACATAGTTAATGGTGGGAACTAGGATGAAGTTTCTGGATCTTTAGAGAAATACTAATTTATACTGTTTGTGTTTTTTTTTCTTAGTTTCTGCCACTGCCTTCTACAAAGCACAACCTGTAATTCAGTTCATGTGTGAAGTTCTTGACATCCATAATATTGATGAGCAACCAAGACCTCTGACTGACTCTCATCGTGTGAAATTCACTAAAGAGATAAAAGGTGAATTAGTTAGCATGTAGAACAGCATAACTATAAAATGCATGGCTATGACAACTTTCTATCAAAGTATTTTACAATTAAATCTATTTATGTAATACTACCAATGGTAATACAAATTAATTATAAAATTTTACATTAGATACATGATTGTAGCTTCTTAGGTAGTATTTGAATAAAGGATATGTCAGTAATAGATTTAGTATTAGTACCAGCTAAGCTTTGGTTTATAGTATCCCATACTAGCTAAAGCAGTAAAAGTGTCTCATGGGAAAATGTTTCTCCAACACTGCAAAAAAGAAGGATAGCTAGGAATAGTGTCTTATGCCTCTAATCCCAGCACTTGGGAGGCAGAGGCAGGTGGACTCTAAGTTCAAGGCCAACCTGGTCTACATAGCAAGTTTCAGTTCCAGTACTACATAGTGATATACTGTCTCAAAAAAAAAAAAAGTAGGAAGCTTATGTTTAAAGTATTATTACTTTAGAATTTGACTTGTTCTTTGGAAATATTCTAATTAATGATTTCCTTATTTTAGTGAAATGGTAGTTTTAAAATTTTATTCCTTTGAAATTTTAGAAATACGGAGTTAACCTGTTCTTTGTGTTATTCCACAGCTTGCCTTAGCTATTTAAATGTACATTATAGAGGTAATTGTTTTCCTTAGCTAAAATTTTACAGTGGTGTCACATCATACATTTATTTAACTCAAAATATTTGTCTCTATATGGTCACTCAAAAAATAAAAATAATAAAAAAAAATTTCAATAATGTTCTAAAATTATATTTTATACATATTTGCTCCTTATGTACATTTTGAGTACATTTATAATTTTGTGTCCAAATACTGTACTTTATCAACGATCTCAGAGATTTTTAAAAAGTAATTTTGACCATGTACAATTTTTGCCTTATTTATGACTTTAGTACCTCATCCTCATGTGAGATGTAACTCCACTGTAGTCAGTGTACTATTTAGACATGAATAAAAATTAGATACTATCGCCTTTAATCTCAGCACTTGGGAGGCAGAGGCAGGTGGATCTCTTTGAGTTCAAGGCCAGCCTGGTCTACATAGTGAGTTCCAGGACAGCTGGGGCTACAGGGAGACCCTGTCTCAAAAAGACCAAAAAAAAAAAAGTTAGATACTATCTAATGAGAATGAGTACTATAAAATTTATTTATATTATATATTACATCTTAAATAGCCAGAAATAATTTTTTTTTCAGATTTCACCTATTTGTTGCAGATAATTTTCAGCTTGTGTTTTGAGTGAAGCATTCAAGGTTGTTCACTGAACATCTTTCAATCCCTCAGACCACTTAGAGTAGCTGAACTCATCCTGCTTGCTCCAGTAATCATTCATTCTTCACCATTCAGTGACCAGAAAAGAGACGTTGTAATAAAATATTAAAAGGAAAGCCCCTCCTGGTTTGATAATTAGCATCCATCTATCTCAAGTTATATAAGTGCCAAAATAAGAAGCTGTTAAATGTGACTGTTTGGCAATCATATCATTGTCCTTTCATAATCTGTTTTAGCTGCACAGATAGCATTGTGAGGAGGTTAGTGCATTACCTAGCATTATATATGTGATCACCCAAATACCATGGTTTCTAGTGAGTTGCTGCTTAGTTACCGCCTCTGATATCATGCAATCACTTACATTATTTTGCGGTAACTATGCAATCAACTCATATCACCACTCTATCACAGAAAACACAAAATGTACAGAACAAGAATTCACCTGCTGCCCGAAGAGCATGGACTTGATCTTACCTTCAACTGCTCAGGGGCCCAAAGAAATGACTGAAAAAATGACTAGAAAGCATTATAAAGTTGATGTTATAGTGAAGGTAAAGCCAAATTTATAGGCTGACTATTTATTAAAGTCCAAACTTTTTTGGTTGGATGGAGGGTTTGGGGAGGTAACTGGGCAGAGAATTATCTAGTCTATTCTTTACAATTTTTACTTTTTGCTGGCCCTTGGATTTGGTCTTACTATTGAGTACTTATGATATTAGATTTGGGATAGAAAAATCTGGGTTGGAGTTAGTTGATAACCAGTATTTTTCTCCATTCAAAGTCAAGAATACTTTAAAAAAAATTTTTTTTAAAGTACATCATATATTCCTACCACAGTAACTGAAGAGAATAGAGTTTTGTGTTCAGTGCTGTTTAGGTTGAAGTTTTAGCTTGCATAAGGAATTCG